CTTTGGTGTGGACATGGGTCTCCTTCGTCTTGGTTCTACTTTTCTTGGTAATCAACAGTTGAGTCTCATATTAGCTGAGAGCATTACCCTCGTCATGCATGCAGTGTGAGTGTATGCGCGTGCACGTGTGTGCAGTTCAGACCCGATCGTCAAATCTGGACCTGACACTATGATTTGCATTAGGTGGTGGACGTGATCCAGGAGCACCAGGAAGGTAGCTTACGCCTACCACTGCCTAGGATTTGTTAAACAGTTTCTCTTGAAAGGACATCATTTGAATAGAGGACTTCCTTGCTGTCGCTATGAATATTCATGATACATTCATTGCAAAGCGGTTTTAAAAAATTACTTGTGTTTGATTCTCTAGTGCCTTAATGGTTTCTGCTAATAGCATGTCAGAAGTTGAATATAACAAAACGTGAGATGCCTGTTTATAGAGTGAATAGCTCATGATAGCTGCTAATTGGGTTTCACATAATCTTGTGATTTCATATAGCTTAATATTAAAGAGATAGGTTTTCTAGGCCCCAGTGAAAGCTGATCTAGACCGCGAGTGAAGTCAACGAGTTTTTATTAAGTGCCAGATGTGAAGGCGCTTCTGCTCTCAGTGCCGAGGAGAATCCAAAAGATGAAATGAGGCTCTTGTGGTCCATGGCAGATGATCCGTGAGAGGGCCAAGGGTTTACATATGAGGAAACTCAGCAGGTTTTGATAACAATGAAAACTGCAAACTAAATGTTCACCAACAGAGGAATAGTTAAAAAAAATTATGGTACACAGTTTGCAAAATATATGTAAAATACATATATTTTATGTATAAATACAATCATATTTTCCAAAAACATTTAATGACACGGGGGAAATTCTCACAACGTAAGTGAAAAAGATCAGGACATATGCAGGTTGATCTCATTTATCGTGGGCTGCCTTCCACCACCCCTCACCCAGGGACTGGGGAGAAACAAACAAACAAAAAGCCACTTGGGTTTATCAATTTTCCTGCTCGCTTAATGCAAGGAAATGAATAGAACGCGGGCAAAGAGAAGTCCATACCTCGGGAAGGAAACGAATCCTCACAAAGGTCAGTTTTATAATTTCAGGTCTTATTTTAGGAAAACAAATCAGAACTCCACTGTAACCCCCAGGGTCTCCATCTCAGCCCCCACGAGCTGGCACCAGCCACCCCTGAGCCCTGTGCTCACTGCTGCCCCTGATGGAGCCAACAGAAACTGCAAGGAGAACAGCACCGGGAAGGGAGCGCGCAAGCTGTGAAATTTGCAAGAGGGGCAGGACTTAGCGGGTTATTTCTCCGGGGATGAGAGGCAGTGGGCTCCAGGGAAAAGGAGGAAGCTGGAGAAACCAAGGGGAGAAGGGAGAAGTGGGAAGAATTCGGTGAATGAAGTCCACGTGGCACAGCCCGGAAGACCTTGCCAGGACTTCTCACTGCGGCACGTTCCAGTCACCCCAGTGCCTCTACCCCCACCCTATTTAGCGAGTCAGCTGTGGGGCCTGGGCACCTCACGGCCCTAGTGCAGAAGTCGAGAGTGATAAAGCACAAGTATAGGAAGCCAGGCATGCTGCTAATCAGCTTCCCCCTCTCTGCCCAATTAAGTATGACTTTGTAGCAACTGTTGAATCCTTTATTAAAGGACTTCCAATCTTCTCTGGGGGAGAGTATACCTGCTTCAGGGAAAGGGTCACTGGAGAGGCTAGCCTCCTGTCCTCCCTGGAGTGAACCATGGCAGCCCCCTCGCTGTGGACTGCTGAACATCAGGAAGCATCAGGGGAAGGCCCCAACTTGATGGGACGTGGGGAGGCACAGGCTTTGGGGACAGAAATGCAAAAGGGCTACCACAAGGACTCACAGTGCCTTTGAGCTGGAGAACTATGGGGGTGGGGAAGAAAGGTAAGAAATATATGTGTGATGTGTAACTGTACATTTTTAAGAAATCGGAAGGAAACACCAAAATAATAACATTGCTTATCTTATGTGAGCTTTTAGATGATTTTCTTTTCTATTCGTGCTTCTCTATATTTCTAAAATTTTCTGCAGCTAACATGTATTATTGTTGTTGTTTAAAGCTATATGTCCTATCAGAAAAGCAATCTTGACCTTCCAAAAGTATATTCTAAATGGGTTTTTAAAAAGATTTTATTAATTTATTTGAGAGAGAGAGAGCACGAGCAGGGGGAGGGGTGCAGAGGGAGAAGCAGGCTCCCCACTGAGCAGGGAACCCGATGTGGGGCTCGATCCTAGGACCCTGAGATCATGACCCGAGCCAAAGACATATGCTTAATCGACTGAGCCACCCAGGCGCCTGTAAATGGGGTTTTCAAGTGAAATTTGCTGGTGCAGTATTCACTTGGCTGTAAGTGGTTGTGACAGGGGGTGTCCTTACGCTGATTCTCAACACCCAGGCTACCAGCTGTTACTATCATTAGTGCTAACATTATGTTGACTGCCATTGTCACAGGATAGTGACTTAAGGATTTTCTGCACCCTTTTAAGGTGAGCAAGTGATATGGCCAGGAACACAAAGGACAAGAGCTCTTCACTTTCTAGACTTCCAAAACCTCTATCAGACATATATTGGGCAAAATCTATTCTAACTTGTTTTATGAGTGTTACATATCCTGGTATCTCCTGAAGCCCTGGTGTGCAACAAAATATATTAAATACAACTTCAGTTGCTTTGTTGCATCCTACTCCTGATCGGATTATTGGAGTGTGCTGCCTTTGATCCAACCCTATCAATCACCTCCATTGGAATGCACCATCAGAGGTAACATGGTGCCTCAAGTCTATTAACAATAGGTGGCCACAAAAGTAAAGGGTTAAAAATATGGACATGTGGGGCCCATTTAGTCTGGTAAATGGAGATGACTTGATTAGCTGGAGGAGATCTTGGCTTCTGAAGCTACCAGCTCAAATAACAAATGTCCTCCTTCAGTCACCTTTGGAATGGAGACACACGGGTAGGGTTGATTTTGAGTTTTAATTCAAAGATATTATGAAGCATTTCACATGAGGAAGAAATTTGGACTTCTTGGTCATTTATCCAGAAGGCTGAATAATTTCAGGGCAGAGGAAAATGTGGTCAGTGGCCTCAGAGTAATCAGCACATTAACCATCCTGCAGAAATGTAAAACTCTTCTGTGTGGGTTAATGGGTACAATTAACACCAAAATTAGATACCATATGTAAGTAATTGAGGTTATTTAACATAGCGATTGACTATATACATCTCTGGACTGTGCAGCAGGTAGTCTCGGAATTCATTAGAGAGTGTAATTAGCAAGACTTTATTGGATTTCATTACTGGCTCCAGAGCAGATTTGTATGGGAAACACCTCGGTAGGTAGTTGTCTGAGAAAGCCTGAGTGGCCGTCATTTCCATGTTCCGATCGAAGTGGGTAAAGATGTATTTTCAGATGCAGACTCAGTTCATCAAACTAAATTTAATCTCATCATATCCTCTCTCTCTCCAATCCCCTCCACCTCTCTCCAGCTCCTCTATCCTCTACCCTCAAATGAACTTGTCTGCCCGACTATCAGGGACCTTCCTAATTCTCCCTATCACTCATTTCACTTCGACATAAGTGTTTGCTGGGGTCAGGGCTGGCCTCTTCCTTCTCCACCTTTATCAGCTGAGCTCACTTCTAATCTTCCTCCGTGGCTGACTCCCATCTATCCCTGGGCAAAAACTCTCATTTATTGAGATAAAGGGAGCCAGAAGGAGGTAAGCCCATGGTAGACAGAAGAAAAGGGGATGAATATTTGACTCTGGGAGGAGGGCAGTCGTGGTAAAAGGCTTTCCTGAAATCTAACCAGATTGAACTTTTGAGCAAAGGTTTCCAATGCTAGCTGACCATTTAGAATCACCTGGCAAGCCTTTATAAACCACTGCCACCTGGTCCCACACCCGGAGATTCTGATTGAATTGCGCTGGGGGAGGGGAGCAGGGATCCAAACGTTTTCAGAGCATCCGGGGATTCTAAAAGGACAGGCAGGTTTAGAACTCCTCAAGAGCAGGGCTTCTCATACTTCCATGTGCAGGTCAGCCACCGCGGTGGGGGGCAGGGGCAGGGGCATTTTGTTGCAGTGAAGATTCTGATTCAGTAGGTTTGGGGTGAGGCCTGACATCTTGCCTTCCTAAAAAGTTCCCAGGGGCTGCTGACGCTGCTGGTCGCTGGATGACACGGCGGGAAAACAGCTTGTACCCCCAAAGAAACTGAGATAAAGCCCAGGTGCTGTTAGACTGAGTCTGTGCAGGAGAGGATGATGATGATGATGATGATGATAGTGATCGTTTGGATGCGGGGTAAATATACTTCACCAGCCTGTGAGCCCAAGTAAGGTCTCAGGTTGACAATGTGTTTACAGCACCTACTCAAAAGGCTCCTGCTCATCCCGCCATTTGCATATCGGCACCTCCAGCTCCCTCCTTAGGTCTCATCCAGTGATTTCCAGGGGTCCCTGGGGGGGTCTCTCACTCCACTTCATCCACAGCCTCTTGGGATCGCCTGGTTCATGCTCCAAGCTCGGGACACCTCTTGGGGAGGGCTGTTACAGCTGCTGGTGCCAGGCCCTGCTCGGGCCACCCGGGCCACTCGGAAGGCGCTGCAGAACCTCCGTCCAGGGCGGCGCCCGTTCGGGTAGCGTCTACACAGCAGCGGGAGATTGCGGCGCAGGTGCCTCGGGCTGTAGCTCGCTTCCGCGTCTCTTCGGAAACGGCAGATTTTCCCTGCAGCTCCTCTCCAGGCCTAATCCACGGGCTGGCAAAGACGCAGGTATCATCTCCGGCTTGGCAAAGAGGAAGAACGTCAACTGCCTCCAAACGGAAAAACCTGCCTCCGGGAACTGAGTTCCTTGCCCAAAGAACTTTTGGAAGTGGGAGCAAGATGGCCAGCGCTGCCGAACGCGGTGGGCCGGGGGTGCCGAACTGCCCCGGTTTCTTGAGCGGGACCATCACCCCTTTTGGATTGTTTCAGGATGCATGTGGAAAGTCAGACAGTTCAGCAATGCGACATTGAAACAATGTTGAATGAAACCATTAAAATTCAAACAATGTGGAGATACAGTCTCACTGCCCATCCCCAGCGCCCCTGCTCATAGGTAAGCCACTGGGACTCCCAACTTGGGACTCCAAGTACGTGCATATACACCGAATTACCGTGCTGGCTTGGGCTTTAAACTACGCTTCTACCTCGCCTTCACGATTTCTTGGTTTTAAGCAATTATTTACTAATAACCAACGTGAAAAATGTACAGTTTGAGTCACTTCCGTCACCTCCTTCTCCAACCCCCTCCTCCTGATTTTGTTGGTTGGGTTTTTTACTGACTGGTTCTTATTTGTTACTTTTAAAACTTAAGTATTATGCTTAAACTGCTGTTTCTTGCTCTGTAATCTTTAGATACTGGTTTTTCACTTACCAATGTGTATGCACCCCTGCATATTTCTGCACATCTCCCTCTTTCTTCAAGTACTGTTAACGGGGTTATTTTGTCAGGTTTGTCTAAATGGGGGTGCCTGGGTGGCTCAGTCGTTAAGCGTGTGCCTTCTGCTCAGGTCATGATCCCAGGGTTCTGGGATCGAGCCCCGCATCGGGCTCCCTGCTCTGCCGGAAGCCTGCTTCTCCCTCTCCCACTCCCCCTGCTTGTGTTCCCTCTCTCGCTGTGTCTCTGTCAAATAAATGAATAAAACCTTTTTTTTAAAAAAAAAGTTTGTCTAAACAGCATCAAAGGTTTAGAAATAGCCAAAGTAAAACTGGTGAATCAGTGATGTAGTAATTAGTAAAAATGTATTGTGTACAGAGCTAAAAAGACAGTTTGCAAACTGGGAGCGCACACACCAAAACACAGAATGAGGCTCGGGGGGTAATACGGTTATAAAGCAGCTCATCTAATGAGAAAACAGTGACTGTTCATTCTTCACAGTGATTGTTCGCAATATTAGAATTCTCCCAAATGATAGGGAATTGGCCAGTGGTTAGCTCATACCAACCTAGGAGAGCAGTTAAAGTTTTGCTTATGATTTCCAGAGGCATAGGCAATAAATAACCCAGGTCAAGTTAGCCTTGCAAAATAAGCCAAATTAAGCTTTGCCTGTATGACTAAACTGGTTTCATCTGCTCAGGGAATTTTCAAGGCTGGTCTCTGTTTGTTTTTTATTTTAACAAGGGAAAACAGAGTTTAGAAAGTTATGTTTAAATAAACAGTGTTTAGTGAAGAACCAGGGCAGGCTGACTGGATGCACAGAATAGGAAATCTGTCCTATGGCAGGCATGCCTCTCCGAGGGGAGATTCCAAGAGTCAAGGGCAAATCAATTCTCTTCCCTTAAATGCCATCAAATACTGAACCGTTTATGTCGCTGAAACATTGAGTGTCACTGAAAAGGAACCCTGAATATGTTTAGTTTGTTTTACTTTGGGAATGAATATTCTTGTGCAGTTTTCCCTCCCTGGTGTTTCTCTTTTTTTTTTTTAAAGATTTTATTTATTCATTTGACAGAGAGAGACACAGCGAGAGAGGGAACACAAGCAGGGGGAGTGGGAGAGGGAGAAGCAGGTTCCCTGCAGAGCAGGGAGCCCGATGCGGGACTCCATCCCAGGACTCTGGGATCATGACCTGAGCCGAAGGCAGTCGCTTAACCAACTGAGTCACCCATGCGCCCTCCCTCCCTGGTGTTTCAAAATGATCTTCTTCCTTGATGATAGAGAAAAAAAAAATTACTCCATCGTTCATATCTTCCAGCAGTTTAATACATTTTGAGTACGTGCATATACACCGCCTTCTTTCTAGGACGATTTGCATAAAAGTTACCCTGGGATTAACTTTTCCTTACTTTTAGTTTCCCAGTGCTTGGGGGCTTATGCATTGTCTTTCTTCAGTTTATTTTTCCTTTTGCTGCAGTGGATCCCTAAATTACTTTTTCAAAACAAAAAGTCTAGAGGTGTTTGCATGTCTGAAAATGAGTTTTTGCATGTCTGAAAATGTATTTTGCTCCCCTAATATCTGATTAATGTTTTAATTCTACATTTAAAATCCTTTCCCTCCAGAACTTTGAAGACCTTTCTCTATTGCCGTCTAGAATTTAAGCATCACTGAACAGAAAGCAGCAGTTCACAGTACGGAGCCAGACTGCTGGCTTGAAGTCTTGGTCTGCCACCTGCTTGCTGTGCGGCCAGGGTAAGTTTCTCAGTATTTTCATCCAAAAAATGATGGTGATGATGATATAATAGTTAGCTAATATGTATAAAGTGAAGCAGCTGCTCACACATAGTATGGAAGTGTTAGTGCCTTTTAAAAAATCAATTTCATCATCGTCATTGTCTTCCATGTATCCTGGGTGTTCTGAAATATCATGATACCATAGCTGTGTGAGTCTTTTTTGCTTCATGAACTTGGTACTTAGAAGACCCTTTCAAGTATCTTCCTTTAGTTCTGGGAAATAAAAAAAACTTTTTAAAAAGAATTTTATGCCTTCCACTTTCTCTCTTTTCTCTTTCTCAGATGTCTTGGTTAAATGTAGGCTCTTTTGGATCAAGATGATGTGTTTCTTGTCTATTTTTTTTTTCTTCTTCTCAGATTTTCCATTTTTCTGTCTTTTCTATATTCCGGAAGATTTTCTCATCTATTTCTTCCACCTGATTTATTACATTCTAAATTTCTGCATTCATGTCTTTAATTATCACAAACGGTTTCTTGTTCTGTGCTCCTTTTGGTTCACTTTGGAGTTTTTAATGAATGTAATAACTATCCATATCTCTTTGTGGCACTTAGATTTTTTTTTGATCACAATTTCTGCTAAATTATCTCCATTCCTCCCAGAATGTGATGGACCATAGTCCTTTATAGATGCCTCACTTTTTTTTTTTTTAACATTTTAAAAATTTTTTAGAGAGAGAGCATGAGCAGGGGGCAGGGGCAGAGGGAGAAGGAGAGGGACAAGCAGATTCTGCCCTGAGTGGGGAGCCCACAGTGGGGCTCAATCCCAGGACCCCGAGATCATGACCTGAGCCGAAGCCAGAAGCTTAACCAACTAAGCCACCCAGGCGCCCTAATGCCTCACTTCTTTTGAACAATCTTCTTATATCTTAATCCTTTTCCATGATATTAATTGCACCCTCCCATAATTGACATTTTAAGAGAATCACATTTTGCTACTCCCTGTAACTAGGACATAGACTTTGCTTCTGCCAATCAGAACATGCTCCTTTGAGAAGTTTGATTCTAAAGTGAGTTACAGGAGGAAACGGCCAGGACACCTGACATCTATTTTGTACTGCAGGAAACAGAGGCAGCATTTCTCTGGGATCTGCAGCAGGGGCCACAGTGGCTCCCTTACCAGACTAGGTCCATAGTATGGTTCTGGAAGATGTTCCTGGAGACTCAGCCCAGAGTTGGTTCCTCCAGTCCTTTTAAAGTTTGTCTAAGATGCGTAATACCCAAAATAAGTACTTCCCTGATAATGGCTTTCTAGCTGGATTTACCCCCGTATTCCAGATTTTTTCTTTTTCAAACTGCTCATATGGCCTTGCCACATGGACATTCAATGAACCCCACCTCTTGGTATTCATGTCCTTGTGTTATCCTCTTTCACTGAGTGTAGGCAGGCTGGCCATATTGGCTCACTTCTAATCATTACAATATGGCAACGTAAGGGGATGTCACCTCTCAGATTACATAATAAAAAGAGCATAGCTTCCATTTTGGGTGCCCACTCTCTCTGGCTCATTCATGGATCATTCACCCTGGGAAAAACCAACTGCCATGTACTAAAACAGCCCTGTGGAGAGGCCTAGGTGGCAAGATCCTAAGGCCTACCAAAATCCATGTCAGTGAGCTTGGAAACTAGGTCCCCTCACTCTCAGTTGAGCTTTTGAATGAGACCACAGCCCCAGCCAGTAGCTTGACAGCAGTGTCATGAGAAAGCTTAGCTAAAGGCACCCAGCTCAACAGCACCCGCATCTGACTCACAGAAACTGTGAGATAATAAATGTTTGGTGTTTGACAGCGTTTGCACAGAACTAGAACAAATAACCCTAAAATTTGTATGGAACCACAAAAGACCCTGCGTAGCCAAAGCAATCTTGAAAAAGAACAAAACTGGAGGCTTCAGAATCCCATGTTTCAAAATATACGATAAAACTATAGTAATCAAAACAGTATGGTACTGGCACAAGCAGAGACCCATAGAACAGAATAGGGAGCCCAGGAACAAACCCACAATTATATGTTTAATTAATCTATGACAAAGGAGGCCAGAATACACAATGCGAAAAAGACCGTCTCTTCAACAAATGGTGTTGGGAAAACTGGACAGCTACATGCAAAAGAATGAAACTGGACCACTTTCTCCCACCATACACAAAAATAAACTCAAAATGGATGAAAGACCTAAATGTGAGACCTGAAACCATAAAAATCCTAGAAGAGAGCACAGACAGTAACTTCTCTGACATCAGCCATAACAACTTTTTTCTAGATATGTCTCCTGAGGCAAGGGAAAGCAAAGCAAAAATAAACTATTGGGACTACAGCAAAATAAAAAGCTCTAACCAGCAAAGGAAACAGACAACAAAACAAAAACACAACTTACTCAATGGGAGAAGATATTTGCAAATTATATATCCAATAAGGGGTTAATATCCAAAATATATGAAGAACTTATACAATGCAACACCAAAAAACCCCCCAAATAATCCAAAAGACATAACCAGACATTTCTTCAAAGAAGACCTACAGATGGCCAACAGACACATGAAAAGATGCTTAGCATCACTCATCATCAGGGAAATGCAAATCAAAACAACAGTGACCTATCACCTCATACCTGTCAGTGGCTAAAATCAACAACACAAGAAACAACAGGTGTTGGTGAGGATGCAGACAAAAAGAAATCCTCAGGCACTGTTGGGAATGCAAACTGGTGCAGCCACTATGGAAAACAGTATGGAAGTTACTAAAAAAATTAAAAACAATTAGCATATGATCCAGTGATTTCTCTACTGGGTATTTACCCAAAGAATATGAAAACACTAATTTAAAAAGATATGTGCACCCCTGTGTTTATTGCAGCATTGTTTACAATAACCAAGATATGGAAGCAACCTAAATGTCCATCAATAGATGAATGGATAAAGAAAATGTGGTGCGTGTGTATATATGTATTCCACACAATGGAATATTTCAAGGATGAAATCTTGCCATTTGCAACAACACGGTTGGATCTAGTGGGTAGAATGCTAAGTGAAATAAGTCAGTCAGAGAAAGACAAATACCATATGATTTCACCCATGTGGAATTTAAGAAACAAGCGAACACAAAGAGAAAATTATTTTAGGAGACAAACCAAGAAACAGACTCGTCTACCAAAATCCATGTGAGTGAGCTTGGAAACTAGGTCCCCTCACTCTCATTTGAGCTTTTCAATGAGACCACAGCCCCACCTGTCTGAATATGGTTCAATGGTTACTGGAGGGCAGGTGGGTGGGGAGATGGGGGAAATAGGTGAAGGGGATTAAGAGTACACTTGTGATGAGCTGAGTAATGTATAGAATTGTTGATCACTATATTATATACCTGAAACAAATATAACACTGTTGATTTTTAAAAATTATTTAATGAATTAAAAAAGTGTGTGGTGTTTTTCAGCCACTAAGTTTGGGGGTAATTTGTTAGGTAGCAATAGCTAAAGAGTACATTCATCACAAATTTAACTTGTCTAAAACCAGACTCCTGATCTTTACTCCTGCCCGCAACGTGCTCCTCCTCTCAGACTCCCTCATCTCTGTGAATGACTGCCCTATCCTTCCAGTGGCTGAGACCAAAAGCTTGGAATCACCCTTGGCTTCTCCTTCTCTCTCTTGACTGATAACCAAGCCATCAGCAATCCCTGTCAGATCTACCTTCACAGTATTTCTAAAATCTGCCCCTTTCTGCTCATCTCTGCTGTACTCGCCCTGGATGAAACCACTGTCCTCTGATATGGATGATTGTGCTAGTGTCTTCACGGGTCTCCTTCCCTCCATTTTTATCCCTCTACAGTCTCTTTCCAACACAAAGCCAAAGTGACCCATTTAAAGATAAAATCATTTTTCTCCTTGGCTCAAAGCTCTCTAATGGTTCCGCATCTGGCTAGTGAAGACGGTCTTTAGAATGACTTGAAAGACCTGTGTGGTCTGACCTTCTCTCCAAGCTCTCTTCCCTTTCCCAAGCCATCCTGGAGCCCATCTCAGGGCCTTTGCATTTGCTGTTCTTCGGCCAGAAGGCCTGGACACACCCGATGGTAAGGGAGGGATTGTCTCCTTTGTCCGTTGCCATATTCCCCATACCAAGTGCTCTGCCCAGTTTAGAGTAGGTCTTTAAATATCCATTGATCACATGTATAAACTCAGAGTGGATGCGGTGCTCCGCAGCTAAAAGCCCTGAGCAATACACAGCATCCATTGTTTGATCTGTTTGTCCTTTGTGCAGGAGCTTTGCTCTGCATGCCTAAGACTGTTGCCTCTTTGTATTTAATTGTGAAACACTGGTTCATTCATGTAGGTAGTTAACATGATTTTCTCTGTCTTTAGTGGCCTCTTCCCTGAATGAGAGGGCTGACTATACGGTGTGTGTGCGGCATGTGCGTGCATGCTTATTTTGGGTGGGGGTTACTGGGCATATCCAATGGCAGCCTTCACTAAAATCTTTCACTAAAGCATATTCATGTTAGGAACAGGCAGATACATTGGGTTTCTTCCCCCAAAATGTCCAAATGAGGCTGGCTTTCTCTCCTTCGAGGACTCAACCACCCTGTATTGTCCTGGTCCGATTTTTGGAGCATTTTCCTCCGGCTTCAGTCCAGGGGCAAATCCCACCATCACTGGTAGGGGTGAGGGATGCTGCTACTTGAGGTTTTTCTATCATTTCCATCAATTCTGCTCTTCATCCCATGTTTGTCCCCAGAGGCACCCAGATGCAAGAACTCTGCTGTGTGTCTTGGTAGGGGGGGCTCCTTCCCTGTTTTTTTTTTTTTTTTTTTTTGGTGTGTTCCCCCTTCTACCTCCCCTATTCCTGGTATTCACCATTTAAGACTGCAGATGCCCGTTCCCCTGCTCCCTTTTCAATTCTAAGCAATTCTGTGAGTTTATTCTCGTTACTTCTTTTTTTTGCTCCTCTCATGTCAGTGAGTTTTCAGGAAA